GGGGGAATGATGAAACATGATGAAAATGTTAATAACGAACTAAGTTGTAAGCTCTAAAATTATTTAAATCAAAATACAACATGGTAAAAATGAAAACAAGAACGTTGTCTCTTCTGCCCAATATGGAGCTTGATTGTAGTTTAATTGTAGGAGGCCTATGTTTATGTCCTCAAATTATAACAGGGATTTCTCAAATATGGACTTAAACAGTCTGATGGAATGATGTTCTGTGTGATGAAGGTTTTAGGAAGGAATTAAAGAGTTATCTTTAGGTATCTGTCCTGATGCCTATTTGTCTAATGTCATTTGAGGAAGAACCTCTGACCCTAATTTCAGTAAATTGAACACCAGGGTTGTTGCCAGCTATTTTGGGAAAGGCAGGAATTGGGAATATATCATTTGCATTTGCAAAAAATTGGGAAATTTCATCCGTATCCCCACATACAGCAAAATGTATAGCAATAAATAAACACATCAATTTTCTGTGTTTTCGTTTATTCAATTTCAAATTGTTTGTTATCTATGTATCTTGAATGCTCCTTATTCATGGATGGTAAATATTTTGAACATTGTATATATAATGAGAACGATGTGAAACTTGTATTTATAAACATGCTTTCTAATCCAACTGGGAAAGTAAAAGACTGAAGTTGGGAAAATACACGATTATTTTTCAATTTGGGATGGATCCCTGTACTGGACCCTATAAACACCTGGCAAAATATCTGAATACAGCAATGTAGTAGATTACAATTTTTTATGCATACATCATCCGGTATCTTACCTGTTTACCTAACACGACCAGGTCTATCTTCTCCTCCTCAACAATCTTGGCAAGGATTTTAGACACGTGGAAAGGCTGAAGTGTCTCATAGTCTTTGGGCTCTATTTTAACATGGATAGCTCGATCAGCTCCCATCGCTAAAGCTGTACGCAGAGTTTCCTGTGTGGAAAATAAATTTATCAAACTATTACAACAAAACAGAAATTCTTTCATATCAATAATATTTACATTTGCTCTGCATGCTTCCATTGCAATGCAATGCATTGAGAAGGCAAATGTTGTTATGAGATTATAACAACGTTTGCTCTCAAGTAACGTCACCAATCTCTGTTGTGATCTCATCAATTCATTGTTGTCAACACTTAATTTGCTGTTCAAAGAACTGTTGGAAATAACTAAATAAAGTGTAACTACTCTATCATTATGTAAATATTAATAATGAACATTAAAGCAAATACTGTTATGGTCCTATAACACACATTTCTATTGCTGACAAACTTGCATAAAGCCCTGTCAGTCTTTATAAGTTTGTCATCAATAGCAATGACAATGTGTGTTATAGGACCATAACAACATTTGCTAAAACATTAATTGCTTAATTAAATAATTGTGTACTGAATGTTTCCATTAGCATAAACAATCATTTGACTGTAATTACTGAAATTTAAAAAATAATCAAAGTGGTACACAAAGAATCAGAAACCTGTTACAACCATGGTTAGTAAAACCTTAATATCAATATCATACCCGGTTTATCATTTGCTGTACCTATATATACTTTTCAGCTCATATTTTAATAATCTTTTTCCTTCAGAATATTTAAACAGAACAGTAATATGTCTCCGTCATCATACATTGCTAAAACTCTTTACAACTCTTTGGCTGAACAAATGGCAGCAGTAGACATAAGTTTTAATAAATTATGAAATATTAATTCTAAATTATAAGAATAATACAGTAAAATCAACTTCAACTATTGACTATAGCTACCGAGTGTAAGTCATTAATCCAATGACTTCAATAAACATTTCATGTGTATCAAGAGAAAGAGAAATGCAACAGCCAGACCAGCATTTGAACCTGAGGCCCTCCAAACTCTGGACGGACGCTCTATCAATTGAGCTACCTAGGCCTGGTCACCAGTGAAGTTCCACTATATCCCTCCCTCCCTTTTCTAAGTTTTCGCCCCCCAAAGTACAACCAAGGATCGGGTACTCCCTCCCTTGCCAAGCACTCAGTGCTTTCAACAATGGTTGGCAAGCGTGCCACTTTTGTGATAGGAGCAAAAATATATGCACTGCAAGACCGGGATTTGATCCATGGACCACCCAAACTTTTGACGAACACTCAACCAATTGACATACCTGGTCACCGACAATTGTCCCGGTCCATTTACACTTCACAAGTAGTCATTAAATATGACATTTACCCACTGATTTAGTTTTGGCTCAGTTTACTGCCAAATACAGGCTGTTTCCCCTTGGTAAAAAATTGCTTTATTTTCCCAAAATGACCAAAAATTGAGGAATATATTTCCGATTTCAATACAAATAATTCTATATTTTCCCAATTTATTAAGGAATAGGCTGTTGTAAAATTCAGGTAACAAAAACACTGATTTACCATATGTTAACTCATTCACCCCTGATGACAGTCAAGACACATTTGAACTCTTCCAATCCAAAGGTTGGAATAGTTCATAATGAAATTTCAGGGGTGAACCAGTTAATTAAAGGGCATACTTAAGCTTCAACACTTTCAAAACACAACAAATTAACCTTAAATCATGACCTCCTCAAACTCTCTACAGACTGAAATTACATGTACTAAAGTATGAATTACAGACCTGGCTCTGTTGGGGTCCACATGACACAGCTATGACCTCTGATGCCAACTTCTTCTCTTTCATACGCATGGCCTCCTCCATAGCAATCTCATCGAATGGATTCATGCTGTGCTTCACCCCATCTGTGACCACACCCAGTTTGTCTGGTTTAACACGCACCTGACGGGGGGAAAAAACCCAGCACATTAACAGTTGTTGGACACAGGACTTAATTATCATAACAATGAAAATAAATATTGAACAACAGACATTGCGAAGTTATACACATCCTTGATATAAATATTTATCAGATCTATATTATTTATGATTGCTATTTCTCCCCTCGTTTTGTTTTTCTAAATGCCGATGTTTTTTAGGGGCCAATAATGGGCCCCATTCCCAATTGAAAATATTACATATTTATGCCTTATTCCCAAAATATGCAGTTTACTCCTGAAAATTTCCTTCCCAATTTGTACATTTTCTTCCAAAATGACATAAAATGGTCCCATACCAAATTAAGCCCTGGCCGATCAAGATAATTTTCCAAAGTATCTGTCCTTTTTTATGACATCCTATAATGCTTGTCTCTAAACATTTTCTTCGTGTTGGTAAGTATGGATAATGAAAAGTTCTTGTTTACACAACCAATAAAATGTTCTATGTGACGTTCTGATGACTAGTACGATATGTACACTGTCACCATCATCAGAGATAATTGTATTGGTTGTGTAAAAAAGAACTTTTCATTATTTATAACGCTTGTCATTCATATATACATAACACTGAAATTTATTGATGACAATGCATCCATTAAGGGAGAAGACAGAATGGTTAACCCTTTCAACACTGTAGACCATAATGGACTCATCCAGATCATTTAATGGTAGAGTTTATTAAAGTTACAAAGTGGTGAAAGGGTTAAGGTTCCATATATATAGGAATGTTTACAATGTACGCATAGCTGTCAACCCTCCCTCATTAGGAGGTAGACTCCCTCATTTTGACCAAAATTTACCAATCTCCCTTGAAACTCCCTCATTCAAGTCCAAACTCAAAATCTACATCCTGTGGTCTAATGTTACTGCAGGGTGTGTGTTCTTAACAGGTAAGTCAGAATGAGTGTTTTAACACATAAAAAGGGAAAGATAAATTGAGCAAAGCCGTTTCAGTCGCATTTCACACACTTTCTCCCTCATGATCATCTGAAAATGTGGAATGAGGGAGATCTCCATTATTGGAGGTTCAAAGGTTGACATCTATGTGTATGTTAAGGCATTTCATCCAGGTATACGTAAGTGTAGACGATTTGACTGGGCTCAAGATTATTTCCCAAAGTAAAGAAAGACTAGGAAAAAGTTTTGCAATTCTATTAAAGAACAATTGTTAACTGTGATAATTTGCGATATCTAAAAAAGTTATAGTTGATCACTGATCACTGTTGTACCCATGCACATTACCTTGAGCATTACAAATAATAAAATTATAACCACATCTATAGGTTATTTTGATGTATCCATGTAGTGACTATTATCAAGAAATTTGCAGGGAAATGCTTCATATTTAAAGAATGATTACAATTATTTATATTTCCATCATATTTTTACTGGAGAACTCAAAAGAGAAACACAACAGTTTGAACCCGGTTCCCTCCGAACTCCAGTCAGACACTCTACCAATTGAGCAACCTGGTCGCTGACGATTGACCCAGTCCAGTTCTGCTACATTTCTCCCTCCTTTTTCTAAGTCTTCACCCCCAAAGACACAACTTTTTACAACTCAGGTTCGGATAACCCCTTGATAAGCATTCTTCCAGTGCTTGAAACAAGGGTTGGCAAGCTTGCAAATTTTGTAACTGAAGAAAGAGAAATGCAATGGCCAGACTGGGGTTCGAACCCGGGACCCTCCAAACTCTAGACGGGCGCTCTACCAATTGAGCTAAGTACGTACCTAGTCACCGATGATCGACCCAGTCCAGTTCCCTTACTGTATAAATCACTTACCATGAAGTAGCCCGAGTTTCCTCTGGGCCAAACACCAGACTTAGACATTTTGAAATATAGATGTCTGGTGTGGGGTCAGAGCGCACTCCTGTATAAAAATTTGGAATTCTCCGTCACCGTATGGAAGGAATCAGAGAGTTACCAGGTGCTGACAACAAAACTCTACTATGACACAACACATACCTCACATACATGGATCAATGGATTATTTATTGATCCAAATCCGCTCTTATTATCACCAACAGCTGCTTAATTACGTCAGAAGACTCCTCAGTTTTCATCGTTCAAAATTTCCTAGCCAAGCGAAAGCCATTTTGTAGTTTGTGGGAGTGACTAATAATCAACAAGCCGTACTAATCAGGGCTGAAAACAGAATATATCATTCTTGTTTAGAAGATTTCCTGACCACGTCTTTTTCGTTGATTAGTCACTCCCTGATACCTAACAGATAATTCTACATTTTCATATACTGTAGACTAGTAGTGTGCTCCTTGCCATACACCAGACATCTATATATGTCAAAATTTCTAAGTCTGGTGTTAGGGCCAGAGGAAACTCGGGCTACCTTACTGTATTAATCACTAACCATGAAGCTAACCAGCCTGAGTTCACAAGCCAAGGTAGGTCACCTTGTAGCGAGTGCATCTAAACCTGTTTTGAACAGTGTGAACATAAAATAATAAACGTGAAGCATGTCCCAACCCATCCAGTGGCCGATCCAGAGACCTATCTGGGGGGGTTTCCATGTGGGGAAAAATTGAGGAAAATGGTGAAAATATATGATTTTTAAAGAAAATTCTCGGGGTGGGGGGGTTTCCTGAAGCCCAAAAAAAACCTCTGGATCCGCCACTGCAATCAGCTTTGTTGGTTTACACTTAGTGACATTNTACGCCATAATGAACAAAAACATGTTGCAATGACATGACTCAAATATGAAGAAAAAAAATCATGTGCAGAATTTTAAAGCCTAACAGTTAATCGACGGGTTCTTTTTGACGTTCCTTCTTGACTTTGACGGTTTGTTATGAAACGCTCATGTAACCGGCAGTGCAGTAGAAAATCGTTTGAGAAAAATAAGTTAGGGTTAGCAGTAAAGAAAATATTTTCTAGTCCAAAAAACAGTCAAATGCTTCGATGTTGGTCATGCCAGAATAACAATCTTACTTTCACAGCATAATCTATCACTCGTTTACATCCAACAAGTATTCTAAGAGACATTTTCACAGGTCGGTCATCTGCAGCAAACTTGAGTAACCTTTGTTCCCAAGAAGGGACATACCATTATTGCCATATTGAGAGTTTTCAAAAAAGGGTTTTCGAGATAGTTCTATTCAAAGAAAGATTCCAATAAGCAAATTATTTTGAATTAACTTCTTGAAATTGGAAAAATGAGTAGAAGACCTAGTTGATATTATTTTTACATAATATTTTTAAATGTTCTTAAAATAATTATTTCTCCCTTTCAATTAAACTACTCTCCAGGAACAAAAGAGTTCCGCAACGAAGCGTGTAAATGACGTTGTCCACGGTGCTCTTGCATGCAGACGATTGCCATAAACACGCCTTTTCGGTAATTTGGTTTGTCGGGGTACTTCATCTTCTTTGGTATTGACTGCACTGAATATAAGTGGATCATGGTCGCAATTCAAAATGCCAGATCCATTTTGCTGTCTTTCTGAAAACTCTCAGGGTCTTGACTAGGCCACAGGCGCTTGTATCTGGTTAAAATCCAAAATCACATATGACATGTAAGTAGTGGATTTTGTATTTAAGCTCAGGTATTAAATACCAGATACAATATGTAAGTAGTGGATTTTGGATTTTAGCTCAGGTATTAAATACCAGATACAAGCGCCTGTGACTAGGCCTCAGTGCCAATATATCCTATTGACAACACAGGGACCTGAAAATTTGTTACAGCTATAATTGGAACTAAACTAATGTGTTCAGAGCAATTTTATATGTTTATAGGGTTAGATCGATTTTTTGTGTCATTTTAACCCCCTAATTTTAGATCGACTCCTATTAACATGTAAAATTACTCTGAACGCATTAGTTTAGGTCCAATTATAGCTGTAACAAATTCTCAGGTCCCTGTGAGTGACCGCAGGTACTTACCTCGTCTGTCAATACAGCTATAATATAATCGTATAGGTGTATTGACAGACCAGGCTAGTACCGGTGTATTGACAACAGGAGTTGGTACCAGGTAAGCACACTTAAAATATCCTATACTTCCTCAGTTGAACGCTCTACCACTGCGCTAAAGGGAATTAATTCCCTCTAGCTGGTAGCTAGAAGGCCACCCTTTTGCTATATATATTTAGTACATCACATGATAATTTCTAGGATAGCTATTGGATAACTACCCTTGTTCTATTTGGTATAGTTAGCATCCGCCGTTGACAACGGGAACTATACCTGGAGACCGGCACTATACCTTTTTTTTTTACCGCTGAGACTGCGGGAAAAGTAACATGACGCTAAGAGTTGCGCCCCTTCTCCTAGAGGGCGCTGTATATATTCTACTTTCACTTCATTGTTGTCGTCTGCCAAAATGGCTTCGAATTTCGGGATCAGGAATGCCGATTGCTTCGCAGAGGCTCAGCAATGCATAAAGACGAAGCAGGCGACACCATTTGACGTCGAAGACCTTAGACTTCCTACTGGAAAGGGGAACCGTATGTGACCTAGTGGTGATTTCAATCCAGTGAATTGAATATGCAACAAAAAAGGAGAGATCTATTTAAAACATTATCTTATCGTCATTTGTTGTTAATTATTAAATATGTTACTTTTTATTGTCAAATGACAGTCATGGGATGTACTAAATCTATTACGACCCTTTCCCTCGGGAACAGTTCTCTTAAAGTGTTGTCTGGAGAGGTATAGTGCCTCCCCAGACAACACTATAAGAGAACAGTTCCCTCGGGAAAGGGCCATAATAGAATAATATAGATAAATATATATCTCATCCTTTCTTTCTGGTGCTTATCTCTCGTTGACTCACTTTATGTGATAGTTCATCTTGCGCAAGAATAGGTCCTCTACATCAGCGTTCCTTGTCCGCGATACTTTCAGCTTAATTGATGCCTTCGGCTGTCTTTAGCCGAGGGGACTTGGTTTTATATAATAGCTATATTTTCAATTATAGTATATCAGTTCTATCTTCTTGTAATATGATGTATATGTACATGTAACTGTTCTGTTTCACTGTGTCTTGATAAAGGAGCGGATCGCTCCGAAAATTTGACAACCTAAACTTGTCCACACTGTTGGAATTACTTCTTTGCCCCATATATATATATAAAAATATAGATTTGAGTCCTGCCTCACTCCCTCTTTTCCAGTAGTAAATTATGTCCGTCCTGCACTCCCTTTGGCGACAGGGATATTATATTTATTTAAATGTTAGTTGCGGAATGTTTGGAACAATTCATTTTGTGTAAGCAATTAATTTGGATTAATGATACCCATACAAAAGGAGTAAAAGTTCATTGATTTTGAGGTCTCGTAACTTAGGTCAAAAGTCCAGGTGACAATTTGATATTTTAGGAAAGTCTTGTTAGCTCACCTGGCCCCAAGTGCGACTTCTTCTCAATAACCAACAGGCCAAATGTCATGATATTTGGCTGGTTGGTTGCTGGGATGAAGCCCAACAAAGTTTGAAAAAAGAAATGGCCTTGACCCATATTCAAGGTCACAGGGGTCAAATTTGTTAAAACCTTTAAAAAACTTCTTCTGATTAACAAAAAGTCCCAGAAGCGTGATATTTGGCAGATAGGTTCCTAGCATGAAGCCTGACAAACTTTGCGAAAAGAAATGACCTTGACCCATGTTCAAGGTCTCAGGGGTCAAATTATTTAAAACCTTTAAACAACTTCTTCTGATTAAACAAAAGGCCCAGAAACTAGATATTTGGCTGATAGGTTCCTACGATGACGCCCGACAAGGTTTGCGAACAGAAATGACCTTAACCCATATTCAAGGTCATAGGGGTCAAATTTTTTTAAAATCTTTTAACTGACAGGCCCTGAAGCATGCTATTTAGCTGATATGTTCCTAGGATAATGTCTGACGAAGTTTGCAAAAAGAAATGACCTTGACCTGTATTCAAGGTCACAGGGGTCAAATTTGTTAAAACCTTTAAAACCTTAAACAACTTTTTTCATCAACTGATGAATAATTGAAAGGCCCAGAAGCATGATCTTTGCATTGGCTGATAGGGAAAAAAGATGAAGCCCTACAAAGTTTGCAAAAAGAAATGACCTTTGCCCATATTCAAAGTCACAGGGGTCAAATTTGTTAAAACCTTTAAACGACTTCTTCCGAATAACCAAAATGCCCAGGGTGATATTTGGCCAGTAGTATGCTGGGACGAAGCACTACCAAGTTTGTTCAAATTAATTACCTTTGCCCATATGCAAGGTCACAGTGGTTATTCGTCTGAAAAAAATTAAAAACAACTTCTGAATAACTTAAGGTTCCAGGGTGATCGGTTGTTCATGTGAATGACCTTGACATACTTTCAAGGTCACATCTGGTCCACAGTGCATTAACTTTTGTGCAATAAACAAAAGGTATAGGGCCATTAGGGTGATGTTTGACATGTTGCATTCTGTGAGGAAGGCTATAGAGTTTGTTCAATTTAAGGGGCTTGTCGGGGAAAAAATTACAAAATAAATGGGTCTAAATGCGTTCTCTGGCCTTCCAAAAGTTATACCACGGCAATATGATGGTCGAGATCTGCTTGCAATGTCGAGTTTTGACCACTGAAATCTCGGGGGAAGCGCAGATCTATATATATATATGTCGCGTGGTTGTTTTGAAAGTGAGGCAGTGAAGATAACAATAATAGCACACTGTCTATCAGCCATGTCGGACTCAACTAGCGGACAAGACAGCAATACTTTGCATAAAGAATTGTTTTCAAAGGTCATGTATGAAGAAAGTGTAGTATTCCTACTTATATGTTGTTGTTATATATAACGGTATTGATACCTCGTGCCTGTCATGACTTTTGCATGCATCTTTTTCTTTCGCCGTGATGTTTACATTTGGCCTTGTTGATGACGCGCATGCGGTAAAATTACGTCACTGATCTGGGTCAATTGAGAGTTTTACACTGTCGGGTGACGATTTAGGATTTCTTTAATATAATTATAATTTTTACTCTTAGGGAGTGAATTTCAGCAAAATTTGAATCGGTATATTTCATAAGAAGGTATTTTAAACATGTGTTTGCTATTTTAGCAAATACGACATTTTTTCCCCGACCAGCCCCTTTAATGTCCATGTAAGATGTTTGTCTTTCAAGGTCACAGGGGTCAAATGTGTGTTTAATCGTTTAACAGGTATTTTTGAATGACTTAAGTCAAGACACTGATATTTTGCCTGTAGCTTTATTTTAGTCCAATCTTAAGGTTACAATTGTGAGATTAATACCAGGTGAGCGATGCAGGCCAATTGGGCCTCTTGTTTTTCTGATGCAATATCTAGAACAAAACATCACATCTAAGCCAAACCTGACATCCCGTACATCTGATTGGCTGATGTCTCATATAACTATAGAAGAGCAAGATGCCTATATTGGAAAAATAGTTCAAAGGTCATGGAAGGTCACAGAAGCAATGGACAGATACAAATTTTGTGAAAATATTCTTTGTCACAGTACACTTAAACAATACATCATATATTAGCTAGGGTTGCAACAATATATTGTATCATATCGCAATACAGAGTACTTTCTTGTGCATCGTACGGAAATGTTTGGTTTACCTTTATCACGATACACTAACTACTAAACTTATCAATCCATTTTTATCAAACTTTCGAAAAGGGTACTTATATATTTTTTGAATCTTCCAGTAAAGATGTGGTCCAGTCGTACCCAAAAGCACTAGAAATTATACAAAAATGTATTTTGATAGTACTTACTATTGAAGTATATGATAAAACTTGTTAAAATCCTGTAGCAAGTCATTATGAAGTTGACCTTTTAAGCAGATATATTTGTATCGTAAGAATTGTACCACAAAACTTATAGTATCTTGATCAGGTAATTGCGTATCATTGCAGCCCTATTATTAACCAAACTAAGATGGATGTTTCCCCTTTGAAATCTGTATATTGATTTGAAGGTTTACTGGGTAACAATTTAAAGTCGGGTAGACGACATAGAGTAGTTTCTATAATACTGTATTCAATTTATAAAGTGCCCCTGGGACCCCCACCTTTTTTCTGTGAAAGAGAATGGGTGTGCTTAATGTGAAAAACTGTTAAAATGTTTCTTACTTCACTGATCTGTCAATATAAACTTCAAAATTTCTTTTGACTAAATGCTTTGTGTCCTTTACCATTTACGTTACTCGGCAAAGTAATTAAGCCAGTGGTCTAGCATCATTTTCTGATTCAAAATTTGGCCAATTGACTTTTCATAATGTTAGCTGATTCCTCCTTTGAAAGATTACACTGTAAATGTGTGGGAGGTCATGCTTGCTGCAGTTTTAATACATATGGACATGGTCAGTTTCAGCCGGTTTGAGCATGAAAAGGATTTATTAAATAAACGCACCCCTCTTGTGTTTTTGCAAGTGCACAGTGCAATTAATAGGTTGTGGAATATTAGCCAAAATATCTTTTCAAAGAAAATATTTAACATTTTTTCACCAGTCATGATATAAAATCTACTAGCCCCAGTTGTTGGGCTGTTGAATTGTACACTTCGATAGTATCTGATGTTGACTTGTCCCTTCTGTCACAGGTTGGTAATATATGGAACGGTAAAAGACTAGGACTTGGGAAGGTCAAGGGCCGAATTTGTAGATCAACATGTCAAGTCTTTTTTCCAAAGTGGCTTTCTACCCAACATTGGTTTACAACATCTTCTTATCCAAGGTTACCAGTAGGAACTGGTATGACCGCATCGATGAAACTGTTCTCCTTGGGGCTTTACCACTGCGAGGAATCACCAAGCAGGTACGTAATTGTACCTGTTATCAAGTAAATATTAAAACTTCATTTTGTATCAACTTGGAAAACATTAGCTGTTTCCTACTGACTCAGCCATTTGGTAGAGCGTAAGACTAGCAAACCAGAGGACCTGGGTTCGACTCCTAGTTGAGGCATTGATTGGTTTGGTTATATTTTGTTTAACATCCTATCAACAGCTAAGGTCGTTTAAGAACGTGCCTTCACGTGCGTTGTGTATGCATGCATGTGTGTATGTGTGCCATAGACAGGGTATGTAGTGTACTTGCCACCTTGTGATAGCACAGATCTGCATGGTGCCAACTTTATAGTGCTGTCTCACTGAAATACCATGCCGAAGGCACCCAGTACAGCATTCTGCCCAGTCATATTATAGTGACAGCGGTTATATGCGCACTGAACCAGGAGGAATTGAATGATATTATAACCTCTGTTACATCAGCAATGCTATACTGACCCTTTTTTTTCATTATTTCATACAAATTTGTGATTTTTGGTTCTGATGTGTGGTGTATAATATACCAATATACCGGTACATATATATGTATAAGAATCTGATTTCTTACATAGTACCAAAGATACACTGAAAAAAGTGTCCTTGTTCATGTCTTGCCATGTTCTACTGACAAATTACTCATGATGACAATAGCAAATAGGATGAATATGCTGTTTGTTTTGTTAAAATATCTTTCAGAACATTTTATAGATGAAAATTGTATTTTAGTCGATATTCAGTTTACAGAACTTCTAAGTGAAGTTATCAAATAATGCAGAGTTTTAACTTATTGCTAGACTAATACTCAGTAATAGACAGCTATAAACTAGCTATAGTCATCAGGAAAATTAATGTCTATGGGAATTATTTATATCATAGACAAATATGTGTGAGATTCAGTGATAAATTATATATACTTTTGTAGTAAGGGGAAAAGTATTCTTTTGAATTATTTTACAAAACAATAATAATGCGAGGTTCTTACATACCACTTTATCACAACCTAGGTCGTAGGTCATCTCAAAGCGGTTCACAAATCATTGCAAACACATATTCATGTAATAATAAATACACGAGACTACATCTTTTGTCTATTATTGGGTGGTCGGGTGGCACAGTGGATAGCCCACTCGCCTTTCACCAAGGCGGCCGGGGTTCGATTCCCCAATCAGACCTGAAAAGGTATCAGGTCACCTGCCTGATCACGTGGGTTTTCTCCGGGTACTACGGTTTCCTCCCACATTTAGACCCTCACCTGCGCACTAACATCTGGATCAACAAGAGTGATTAACATTTAGTTATATGTCTTGTTTCATATTTGTTGTAATATAAAATTCATATTTTATATTCATTTAATCATACACTTAATATATAAGTAATTTTTGTTTGGTCCAAGGTCTAGTCTAATGAAATTTCAGTAGGTTTATAAGAAATCCATATAACATAGACCTGGAGTCATCTATAGTGTGTAAGTTCTTAACTCTAAAACTGAAAATACAGGTTCTTTGTGATTATTTCTTTTCCAGCTTGTTGAGGAAGAGAATGTGCGAGGCCTGGTATCTATGACGGAGGATTTTGAGATGAGTCAGTTTGTGAATTCCGAGGAGGTGCAGTATAATGTTTTCTATCTGTGTTTGTGATTTGTTTACAATATTATCCCAACATGTATGACCCGATGAGCTTATCTTGTAGTATTGTACCCGTCTGTCCGTCTTTCTGATATCGTTCAAGGTAATTTCATCTGTCAAATTTTTCATATCACTGCCAAAAATTGGAACTATGCTCTGAAAACTTGATTTCCATCACAACTACATCCTCAATACACCTGGGTTACGCTAACTTTCGCTGTCTGCAATATTGAAGACATGAAGTTATAGCTATTTGATTGGTCTCGGGTAAAAAAAAGCCTGGCCAATCACTACGCTGATACCTGTCCTTTGAAGATTACAGAGGATGGACATTCAAATTATAATTTAAAAGCCAGTCAATTTTACCATCATGCGACTGCCAGATTCTTTTCATGTACATCAAAGGAACAAACTAGTCTGCTTGTCTCATCCACAAGGTGACGCACACTGAGCCTTCAATTTTGCTCTATGACATATTCAAGGGATGTAGAGAGCGAGATTGAGCGTAATCCCTGGAGTATTGAGGAAGGCATGACAATAGATTGTAGTTGGTATGGAATATGAAGTTAATTTCTTTTACAAAAATTATAAAAGACGTTATATCAACATATAATAATCACAACAATTAACTCATTCACCCCAGAAATTTCATAATGAACGTTTCCTACCTTTGAATTGGAAGAGTTCAGATGTGTCTTCAAGGGTGAGTGAGTTAGTGCATTAACCAAAGTTAACTTTCATAAGGAATTACAGAAATATGCAAATTGATATCACTGAACTATCAATTCTTACTTGATCTGTTCTTAGCTTGCACATATGCAATTGTTCAGGTAAAACCAAAGTGACTGAAAGATTCACGTCCATGCTTCTCATATTTTCCCCAAGGAATGGTTGAAGGTTGGTATCACACAACTGCGACTGCAGACAGTGGATTATGTGGGGACTCCTACGCAGGAAAACATCAACCAGGCCGTCAACTTCATTCTGCAGCACAGAGAGCGCCGAGAGAGTGTGTACGTCCACTGTAAGGCTGGCAGGACAAGGAGCACCACAATAGTGGCCTGTTATCTCATCAAGGTTGGTAGGAGTTATCTTCTCTTAGAACACACTGATACAAAGGTGGAATTGATTCCCATACCCGGCCAAATTCTCATAGGGATGATTAAATGCCTTTCGAAAAATTTGTTTCCACTTGACATTTGTCCACTGTAAGACTGGGAGGACAAGGATTGCCACAATAGTGGCCTGTTATCTCATCAAGATTTAACTAAGTTGAGTTAGTATCCCGTGCAATGAAGCCTTGAGGGAATATATAGCATTCTGTTAGTATATGTGTTTGTTCACATTTGCATTGCTTTTAATTAAATTTCATTGTATTGTCAAGCATGAGAATATCTCAGTGGTCCATGTTCAAGGTCAAGGTCACTGTTTCTATTTATTGAATTTTTTGGTCATTATTCTAGCAAATGCATTCCAGAATTTTATCAATTTTCATTTATTAACCATGCATGTAAATATCTTGAATGTTTCAAAGTGCAAAGGTCAAGAACAAAGAGCAAAGTGGTCCGTCGTCCGTACTTAAATAATTCTTGATATCGCTATTTCTCAGGAAGTACAACAGGGATCTTTCTCAAATTTTATATGTATGCTCCCCTTGGTGTGTAGTTGTGCATGTTTACTTTTGAGACTGATCAGATAAACAAAATGGTCGACAGGCAGCCATCTTGGATTTTGACAGTGAAGATTTTATTGTTATCGCTATTTCTCAGAAAGTACTGGAGGGATCTTTCTCAAATTTTACACGTAGGTTCCCCTTGGTCCTTAAATGTGCATGTTTACTTCTGTGATTGACCAGATAAACAAAATGGCCGACAGGCAACCATCTTGGATTTTGACAGTGAAGGTTTGTAATCGCTATTTCTCAATAAGTGCTGGAGAGATCTTTCTCAAATTTGACATGTAGGTTCCCCTTGGTCTGTAGTTGTGCATGTCATATTTTGAGACTGATCAAATAAACAAAATGGACGACAGGCCACCATTTTGGATTGTGACCTTAAAGGTTTGTTATTGCTATTTCTCAGGAGGTACTTGAGGGATCTTTCTCAAATTTTATATGTAGGTTCCCCTTGGCCCCTTTTTATTCATGCTTACTTTTGAGACTTATCAGATAAACAAAATGGCAGACAGGCAGCTTGGATTTTGACAGTGAAGGTTTAATTGTTATCGCTATTTCTCAGGAAGTACTGGAGGGATCTTTCTCAAATTTGACATGTAGGTTCCCCTTGGTCTGTTGTTGTTCATATTTTCTTATGAGACTGAATATAACAAGAGGCCCAAGGGCCTTAGCGGTCACCTGAGTTATATCATAGGTACTGGTAGCTTTATTTTATTGTTTAGATGTGATGTGGAAATCAGCATGTAAACTAAGTGAAATACAATACTTGTCATGTCATCAAAGGATAAGAATTTTAAAGTATTTGTAAATGTTCCCTTTGGGGCCCCGCTCTAACCCCTGGGGATGGGGCAGGAATTCCAAGTTTACAATGTGATACCATCATCCACCAAAGATGATTCTGACCAAGTAAAAATGATTTCCAACAGAAAATTGTCAAAAGATACCCAAAAGTGTTGTTTCCCTATAAAAACTATAGTAAACTTTACCCCCTCCCCAAGGGAGAACGGATAGCTAGGGGGTCCTGAAATTTACAATTTAAATAAAGCCCCTGATGATCTTTCCATCCATGCAGAGAAAATGACTGTAATACCTCTGAGTCCGGGGAAGAATAAGATTTTTGAAAAATTGGTTAAATTTCCCTTTGGGGCCCCGCCCTGGCCCCTAGGGTTGGGGAAGGAATCCCAATTTTACAATTTAAAACCATCCTCCTCCTCCAAGGATAATTCTAACCAAGTAAGAATAATTTCCAACAGAAAATTGTCAAAAGATACCCAAAAGTGTTGTTTCCCTATATAAGCTATAGTAAACTTTACCCCCTCCCCAAAGGAGAACGGATTGCTCGGGGGTCCTGAAAATTACAAATTAAATAAAGCCCCTGATGATCTTTCCATCCATGCAGAGAAAATGACTGTATTACCTCTGAGTCTGGAGTAGAAGATTTTTGAAATATTGGTTAATTTTCCCTTTTGGGCCCCGCCCTGGCTCCTAGGGATGGGGTAGGAATCCCAATTTTACAATTTAAAACCATCTTCCTCCTCCAAGGATGATTCTGACCAAGTTTGAAAAAATTCCATCCACTGGTTCTTGAGAAGAAGTTGATAATGTAAAAAGTTTACGCACGACGACGGTCAGAAAGTGATTGGAATAGGTCACTTGAGCAAAGCTCAGGTGACCTAAAAACCAAATGGCTGAAGGAAGACCTTAATAGCTCTCTCTCATATTGCAATGATCGGTTCTATTTCTATCACATTAAGTACTGTACTAGTAAATATGTGAAATGACAAACTCACTTTTAGGTTTGTCTTTTATACAGAGTATTAAGTTTTAGATCAAAAGTTACCTCGAGGTGCATTTACTGTTAACATGACTCGATCAAACAGATAAGAAGAAAAGATCGAACTGACAAAGAACTAATGAAGATGGTACAATGGTGGGCGCCAAGGTCCCTCTGGGATCTATTGTTGTCTTTACTCTTTGTGTCTTTGTTAACAGACAAATGGGGGACATGGAAATTTAGACTGCTACTGAGTTTTGCCTTTATTCTCTGTATCTTTGTTAACACTGGTGAATGGGTGACATGAAAATTCAAACTTTTCCTGGGTTTTTTTCCTTACTCTTTTGTTTCTGTGTTAACAGGTCAATGGGTGGACGCCAGATGAAGCTGTAGATTTCATCAAAACAAAGAGAAGTCATATATGGTTACGAGAAAAACAGCTTAAATCGATTAACGATTATTACTCCAACTGGAAAGACTTCAAAACCATTGGCGGAGCCTGAGTAACCTGTTGGTAGTGCTCTAGAATTGTTTTATGTCTTGGCTCGGATTTGGCTGGCACTGGCTTTTTGTTCAATAGTACCACAGCTAAAGCTTAAGCTGAATTGCAGTTTTCAGCTGTAGCCATCATCATGATTTGCTGCATATTCTAAAACAGTAGAAAGCAGTTGAATGGGCAGGACCCATCTCTTGTGACTGTACGGCCAAGTTGTCAGACTTTTTACAGGTTTATCAAAGCTGACTAGAGTCATCGGAAAGAGGATGATCACATTGAGGCATCCTCGATACTCCAGAGGTTAGGCTCACTTTTGCCCACTGCACCCCTGGAATGTATCTTAGCAAAATTGAAGGCAGTTTTGTTTGTTTGTTTTTGTTTATGTCCTATTAACAGCTATGGTCATTTAAGGACGTGCCAGGTTTTGATGGTGGAGGAAAGCTGGAGTTTCCAAGGAAAAAGACCGACCTACTGCTTTTACTGGCGACTGCATGCCTAACGTAGGCCTCAAACTCGCGATCGTGTGGTGGAGAGCTAGTGGTAGCAGAATGTCCGACGCCTTAACCACTTTGCCACTGCGACCCCTTGAAGGCAGGTGTCTGGCTATTTCATTGGTCTCGGGTAAAAAAAAACTGACCAATCTCTAAGATCACACATATCCTTTGAAAATTACAGAGGAGCGACACTGACAGTTAATTTAGCGTTTACGCGACTGACAGATTTCATTTGATGTGTGAACACACCAAAGGATCAAACTAATCTTCTTGTCTCATCCACAAGGTGGCGCACACTACGCGTTTAATTTTGTCATGACACATTCCAGGGATGCAGAGAGCGTAAGGGAGCGTAACCCCTGGAATATCGAGGCTGAGACCTTGAATATCGAGGCTGAGATTTAGATGGATGTTTTCAGTCAGTGTGTATAATATAGGATTGTTTATGAATATTTTCAAATCTGAAGGCAGTGATAAACATGATATATGCTACCTTACCTATTATATTAGTTTTTATCACTTTGCAATTTTCTGTTGCATGCTCGAAAAAAGGTAAACCTATGGATTCTGTCTTGATTTCAGCAATTTAGAAGATTTCGAAATAATGAGGTGTTTGCGGTATGTAAACCGAAAAAAATGAAGCATTTATCTAAAATTTCTCACATAGATTAAAATGAACATATCATGTATAAGAAACCTGATGTACATTTAAGCGTTGAACTGCTTTTAGTTGGCATTCATAGGCAATATGAATGCCAACTGGACAAATTCAATGAAGTGTATATTGCCTATGAATGCCAACTGAAAGTAGTTCAATACTTATATTTACCATTTTTGGAATCAGTTCATCTCATAAAAAAATCAATTATATTTATTATTTATCAGCATTTAGTTCAAATAATGCGTGTTTTGTGTTTGCTTGTTCAATGAAATGAACAGCCATCACCGTGTTGGGTTTGTGGTATCCATGTAACAATTACGACATCATAATAATGATGAAGTCAACAATCGGTCCATGAATAAGTCTATATGAATGCCAACTGAAATTGGTAGGGTTATATAGTGGCGATGCCATAAGATGGTAAACATTTGATAAAATTGTTGTCCAAGACATCAAAACTCTAAAGTATGATATATTTATATGTGAACAAATACAGGTGGGACGTGTTTGCAGATCTAGATTATGGAGGGGGAAAAAATTGAGTTTTTAGTGCAATTTTAGATAGAAGTAAGTAAATGCAATACTTGAATAAAAATTTTAGAACATACAAAAAGATTTCCATTGTCACTTTGTTAAAATATTTGTTTCAGTCCTTTTCGAAATCATAAAAATCACATGTTGCCATGCATTTTAGAGGATTGTAGATGTTAGAATTTCTTTCTTTTTTTTAAATGGAAATGAAAAAAAGAACAAAAAAGTGCAGGGTTCGAATTCAGGACCTTAACATTGCAAAGCCTACACTTTACCGATGTGGCCATACAGCAATTAATTAAGCATCACATCGAAATAAGTGTCCAATTTATTTATGAAAATTATTTTCAGCTAGAAAAAAGCTTCATTTTCTATGTAGAAAAGGGGGAATAATCCACACTGATTGGAACTCTTCTTGGTGATAATAATTTAACTGATGCAGTGTTACCTTACCTTAAATACTTCAGTAGTTCTTGTACTGTAAAAGCTATTTCTCAAGAACAACTAGACAAGTCTTTTTCATATTTCATAAATATGTTCCCTATAGACTGTAGGTTTGCCTATTAATTTTTAAACTGATCATTAGGAAAAGAAAATGGCCACCAGACAGCCATCTTGTATTTTGACTTTTCAAGATTGTCATTGCTTTTTCTCCAGAAGTTTTAAACAAACTCGCATATATTGGTTCTCTTGGTCAATAGTTGTGCATATTTCATTTTGAGACCGATTTGAATAGAAAATGGCCGTCAACTTGCAGCGATCTTGGATTTTGACTGTTTGATTTTGTTATCATTATTTCTCGAAAGTACATTTTCATACCAATCCATAAGAAATTTTAATTGAAAGTTACCACCAGATTCATTTACTGTTGAATTGATTATCAAGTCAACAGATGAGTGAAATATCATCTTTAATACATAGAACTATAGACTAGCTAAGATCTTGTGATGGTGGGCACCAACGTCCCTCTGGTATCTTTTGTTCTGGCACAGCGGACGTTTTAACAGTATAATATATTCAAGAAAATAAATTCCCATCCCTTTTATGAACTAGATTATTGATATAATGTAAAACTCCTATGGTTCTGGTCACACTGGTGCTCGGGTTCTGGAACATTTGTAATAGTATTTAGGAATACCAGAAACTATACCAAACTGGTTCCAGAACATATATATATGTTTAGGTATCGCACCCTTTACATCCACGATACTGATCATACTCTAGAGGTTACACTCACTTTCACTCTCTACACCCCTGGAATATGTCAAAGCAAAATTGAATGCACTCAGTTATCTGATTGGTCTGGGGTAAAAAAAAAAAGACCAGTGCTTGGTTCCAGGCTGACACCTGTCCATTGAAGACTACAGAGGAACAGCACCTGGCTTTAAAGCCAGTCAGTTTTACCGTTAGCGACTGTACATCAATGGATCAAACAAGTCTTCTCGTCTCCTCC